GGAGGATCACCTGAGGTCGGGAGTTCAAGACCAACCTGACCAACATGGTGAAACCTCGCCTTTATTTAAAAAAAAAAGGAATACTATGTGTGTGTGTGTGTGTGTGTGTGTGTATGTATATATATATGTGTGTGTATATATATATATATATATATATAGTTTTGTTTTGTTTTTTTGAGACAGAGTCTCACTCTGTCACCAGGCTAGAGTGCAGTGGCACGATCTCAGCTCACGGCAACCTCCGCCTCCTGGATTCAAGCAGTTCTCCTGCCTCAGTCTCCCAAGTAGCTGAGACTATAGGTGTGCGCCACCACACCCGGCTAATTTTTGTATTTTTGGTAGAGATGGGTTTCACCATGTTGGCCAGTATGGTCTCGATCTCTTGAACTCATGATCCGCCAGCCTCGACCCCAAAAGTGCTGGGATTACAGCCGTGAGCCACCACGCCCAGCCAGAATACCATACTTTATAAACATTAATCAAAATCCACTCGTAACAAGCACCTATAAACATCCCAGTTTCAAAAATCAGGAAGCAAAAAATTTTGCTCAAACTCTGCAGTCACTGACAGTGTTTTGGAGAAGAGTCTAACAATCACAGAATGCTTGCAACTTCCCAGCGCCTTTCAAAGACAAAGGCCCGTGGTTCCTGTACACCTTTTGCATCTTGTGGCCCAGCTTTCCTGGCCGAAGCTGAGTGGACCAAGGATTAGTGACTGATGCAAAAGCTGCCATCTGTAGGTTAGACACAGCCAATGAGATGTCCTCATGCAAGAGACTGGCAGGAAAAGGGTGCCCTCTACAGAACAGTTCTCGCTGACCCAGTTTGACTGCTAGAGATATCAGAGTCATCAGTCAGACAGAAGAGGAAGTCAAGACAGTCACAATAAAGAGAGAAGTCTAGAGTCTGCAGCAAAAGGCATCTTCTGCTGAGAAGACAGTAAATAACCAGGTATTTGCCTTGTATCTCAAATGCCTGTTGGTTTTATTAATTTCCTACTATTTTCTCTATGTAACCTTCTAGTAAGTCCTCATTGACTTTGGAAGCTAGAACTCGCTTTCCTGACACCTGTAGTAGGCTGAGTAATCCCTAGTCCCCAGAACCTGTGAATATCAGCTTATGTGACAAAAGGGACTTTGAAGATGTGATGATTTAAATTAAGGATCTTGAGATGGAAAGACAATCCTGAATTATCCGTGTGGGCCCAGTGTAATCACAAAGGTCCTTATAAGAGGGGGCAGGAGGGTCAGAGTAAGTAGTAGGAGATGTGACCATGGAAACAGGAGGCTGGGGTGATGTGAGGCGGGGGCCGTGAGGCAGGGACTGCAGGCAGCCTGCAAAGCTGAAAAAGGCAAGAAAATGTATTCTGTTCTGAAGCCTCCAGAATGAGCCTTTTCTGCAAACACTTGGCTAAATCTCAGTGAAACTGATGTTGGACTTCTGGCCTCTGGAACTGTAAGATAATATATTTGTATTGTTTTTTCCCTTTTTTTTTTTTTTTTTTTTTTTTTTGAGACAGACTTTTGCTCTTGTTGCCCAGGTTGGAATGTAGTAGCGCAATCTTGGGTCACCACAACCTCTGCCTCCCGGGTTCAAGTGATTCTCCTGCCTCAGCCTCCTGAATAGCTGGGATTACAGGCATGCACCATAAAGCCCGGCTAGTTTTGTATTTTTAGTAGAGACAAGGTTTCTCCATGTTGATCAAGCTGGTCTCGAACTCCTGACCTCAGGTGATCCACCTGCCTTGGCCTCCCAAAGTGTTGAGATTACAGGTGTGAGCCACTGCACCCACCCACATTTGTGTTATTTTAAGCCACTAAATTTGTGACATTTTGTTACAGCAGCCACAGGAAACTAATATGCCAACTGACAGACTAAGCCAGAGGTCAGCATTTTCTGTGTTCTTTCATTGAAGAAGACAGACAATACCTTAAGCACTTAACCGTTCTGCCTATTAGCATTGTGACAAGTTCTCTGATATGCTTTGAACAGGTCATTATATTTTGCCAGAAGCATATAAGGGAGAAAATGGGAAACTAGGCATTGAATAAAAATGACAAGAGAGTTGCCACTGGGGCCACAGTTACTCAAAAAACACACCGTAAGAGTGATCTTTGTGGCTAGGTGCAGTGGCTCATACCTGTAATCCCAGCACTTTGGGAGGCCAAGGCAGGCAGATCGCTTGAGGCCAGGAGTTCAAGACCAGCCTGGGCAACTTGGTAAAACCCCATCTCTACTAAAAGTACAAAAAAATTATCTGGGTGTGGTGGTGCACGCTTGTGGCCCCAGCTACTCAGGAGGCTGAAGTGGGAGAGTTGCTTGAACCTGGGAGGTGGAGGTTGCTGTGAGCCGAGATCACACCATTGCACTCCAACCTGGGCCACAGGGTGAGAGCCTGTCTGAAAAAAAGGAGCGGTCTTTGTAAGGAGAAAGAATTTGACGTTATATTTTTAAAACTACTAATGACAATGAAAACAGATAAGAAACTGGTAAAACTGAAGCCACACTTCACCCAGGGCTGTACCCATCACGCAGTCATTTTTTATTAATTCAAAATCTGTCTGGAGAGATATCTCAATGCTCTTGTTAATTACTTCTTTCAAGGCATTCTTCTCATTGTAGTGAGCACATCCCTGGGTACCATCCTATAAGTAAGTACATTAATGACTATATGCAACATCCTGACCCAAGTACTTATACACATAAACTGGCTTTCTGGTGCACCTTTCAACTCTCCCATGATAATTTCCAGAGAACACTGTGCCAGGTAGGCGCACCTGTCATCCTCAGTAAAGACCCAAGTGAGGATTCTTTTCTGTAAGGATTCAAGTTCAATCAGCTCATTCCGCTAGTTCCTCAGAAAAGGCTTTCTGCTGCCACAGACAATAAAGCCTTTTTAAAAACACACAACAGGTTGCCAGTCTCGTAGTATATTTTAGAATAAATGCATTTGGAAGGCAAGGGCAAGGTTTTTGTACATACTTTTATTTATCCCTTAGTAAGCTGAATATGACTAGTAAAGAAATGTTTATGCTATAGTAATAAGGATTATTCTGATAATTACCATATTGATTGTTTTGATAATTACTGTGTTCTTAGTTGCAGACCACAGAATTCACTCTAGCTAGTTTCAATAGAAAGGGACGACAGCAGGGTATTAGGTAGCTTACAGGATTTCCAGCAGTGTCAGAGAAACAGCTAGGATAACGCACAGCCAGAAACAACCCCAGCGGGAATGCCCAGCCATGAACAGGACTGTTCTCACAGAAGCCGCACTGCTGCTGCTCACCAGTCAGTACCTGTGATGCTAGGGGCTGGACGCTGGAGCTTCTCTCAGAGCTCCTTCACAGCCATGTCTGTGAAAAGACGGACCCACCTACATGTGCTGCCACTTCACTTAAATGACTGCCATCTTCCTGGAGCACATAGGCATCTGCTGGGCAGAACTGGGTCATAGGCAGAACCCTAGCTACAAAAGAGTCCAGGCACTGTAGGTTTTAGAAATGGTTAAAGCAGATGTTGTGTGGACCCATCCGTGGAATCTGCCACAGTGACCATATGGATTTCAGGCAATTTGTGTGTCAAATGACGGTAATTATGAGAGTTATATGAGAATAATAGCTAGCAATTTCCAGTGCTTTCTAGTGCTTAATATCTTCTAAGCATGATCTCACCTAATCCTCAAAGCAGCCATATGAGGTAGGTACCATTCCTACCTTTGGACCGTAAGTGAAGACATCAAAGGACCAAAGAGGTTGTTAATTCACTCACCCGACATCTCATGGTAGAAAAGCCAGGATTCAAACTCCAGTCTGTCTGAATGAAAGCCTGCGCTTTCAGCCAGTATACTGCTAATGCTTTACTAATTATTATTTTTAGTTCATCTGCGAGGGACAGCTTGACTAGCGAATCTGGGTTCCCCATTTCTGGAAGACTTTGTATCCACACTGGGACTCTGATACTTATGTAACTGGAAATGGAAATGAGACCTTCTGAATGTGGACTGCAAAGGACAGGTCAGCTTCTTGCTGTTTTACTTTTTCTGCCAGTAAGCAACAGGCAGGAAATAAATGGCTTTCCCTCACATTCCCCCCTTTGCGACTCTCACTATACCTTTAGTGGGAGTTCTCACCTTTATTATCACTGTCTGGGTTCTCCCATGGAACTGACGGATAGTGATTCATATAGTACACCTGTGCCAAGGTCTTTTGCTGGACCACAGTAATAGAAGTTTTCATTATTTGCAGAAACAAGGCTAACAATTAAGGAAGGAGCAAGCATGTCCCAATTATTAGCAGCACACCTATGATGAAGGTTTTGAATCCTCCCATAGCTGGAAACCATTGTCCAAACATAGACCTAAGATTAAATTTATGGTAAACCTGCACTGGCACATGTGCCAATTTTGGCGTGTCCTTTGCAATGTTTTTAACTACCTGACCTTGATTATTTATTTGCAGATAATTAGTTAAGTTGAATTTTCCACATACCCCTCCCTTCCCTTGGCTGCCAGTAGGTAGTTTAAGGCCAGCTGATTTTGATATATAGCATTTTTTTATCTGCATTTTTATCTGTTGAGCTAGAAAAGTTAAAGCTTTGTCAGTGTTATTGGTTGTTACCTTCAAGACAGCTTATAATTGAATGATTCCATTGAGCATGTAAATTGGGGTACGGTTACCCCATGAGCCTTCCTCCGCCCAGGTGGCAGTTCCACAGTACTGTATTAGTATCTTGGGAGGCCACTATCTTTTTTGAAATTGCCTATGGCTAGGCTTTATTTATCCCGAGAGGTATAAACAGGGAAAAGCAGTAATTCCCCAGTTTTTATAGGTAGCCAAAATAAGGAAGGTTTAGAGGGTCTGTAACAAACATAGGCTGCCCATCGCCGGGACTACGCACCTTATACTGAGTAGCATTATATAAGCATGTTCCTTTTAGGGTTTCTTTGCATTTATAATAGCTATAGAAAAGCAGGACCATAGTAATTTTTTTTTCCCTACCTTGGTGATCTGATGTATACGGGCACAAGTCCATAGTTTGAAGAAAGGAATGTTGGTCCCACACTGGAAGTCTTCATGCTTCGGCCGAGCGTAGACCAGTCAGCTTCCGGGGTGTGACTGGAGCAGGGCTTGCTGTCTCAGCTCTCCTTAAGGTGATCTTGCATGGGTTACGGAGATCTGGCTTTATTTCCCAGGTGTCTGGTGCTGCAGGTTTCACACAGCTGTGATGGACACACGCAGGAACACCCTCAACCTTCCCTAGCAACGTATAGGGAACGGGCACAGTGAGGTGCAAGGTCATAGTTGCTTGGTTGACCAAGCACAGGTCCTGCACTGGTCAGTAGTCCTTGGTCCCCGGCTTGCGGATGTACAGGAGAGGCATGTTCCAAAGAGACTGGCAAGGTACTATAATACCATAGGCTTTCAGGTGTTTGAGATGGACCTGGATGTCCTTAAGAGCTTCCCTTGGAACCTGGTACTGCTTTTGTCTGACTAGGAATACCCCTGGCTTTACTTTGATAACCACCGGGGCTTGGCTTACTGCCAACCCTGGAGGGTTGTCTTCTGCCCAGACTCATGGCCATCCCTTGGCCAGCACAGCGGTTAATTCTCGACCCGGCTCAGTCAGGAAGAGTCTCTATTCCTCCTCCCAAGGGACTGTGAGAGCCGTGATAATCCATGCCTTAGGCAGTTTGAGCTGCAGGGAGCCCTTATTAGTGAACCTGATAGCAGCTTTTAGTATGCTTAACAAGTTTCTTCCCAAGAGGGATAGAGGGCAGTCCGGCACGTACAACAACTGATGTATAATCTTGTGGCCTCCCATAGAGCAGGTCTGTGGCAGATAAAATGTCTGTTTTTCTGAAACTCCGGTTGCCCCAATTATATTTATTGTCTTGCTGGACAAAGGGGCCACGGGTTGGGTCACCACCAAGTGCTCCCTCTTTCTCTTTCTCTTTTTGTTTTTAAGTTTGCAGTTTCACTTGCTGTTACACTAGCTTAGCAGTGTTACACCGTTTGCCCTATCTTAGCTGTCGAACCTGGCAGCTCCCACACACAGCTGCGCAGCCAGCTCTCCCTTGTCCTCAGGGTTAGCAGTTTAACTCTTGTAATCGCTGATTTTCCTTTTTACCTTTTCGTTTGCCATAAGCACTGCTGCAGCTTGACCTCTCAACCACTGCGGTGGGGAGTGGGAAACACTAGCTATGGTCAGCTATTGACGTAGGGGAACCGGTCTGGACGTCCTGGCTTGCCTGTAACCTTATGCCATGCTTTGGAGACAAGAGACCTATCCAGGCCTTCTTCTGTGGGCCAGTCTACTTCACACAGTGTTCTGAGTTTCCCTGGTGTTACGGTGATGCCATAATTTCCACTATATCCCTTCTTGGAATTCTTTAGCATAGTTCCTAATGGAGTGGGTTTACTCTGCATCTTACCCATCTCCCTCTGTTAGGGTGAGAACAGCACTCCCACGAGGTAGAGGGGCTGCTCACTGACTGTTCGACGTTACAACTCTGCACTCCACCCTCAGTCTCCCGCCTGTTACAGCACACCACTCTTGCTGTTCACTAACTTTTGACCCGCAGGGCCATTTCCCTCACAGGAGTGTTTCAGACACTGCTTGACATTGGAGACTTCGTCACTCCCCCCACAATACCTAGATTGTGAGAGCACCTCCTTCAGCCTTATGCAGCTCAATCCTGGTCCCAGCAGGCCCCACAATTCGCTCAGAGTGTACAGCTCACTCTAACAGACCTGCGGCCCCCACACTTTGCTGCTGATGAGCCCAATTGCGCCCCTTCACACTCTTTCACACGCACACACCTCCCACCACCCAAGCTCTGTGAAAACAAGATTACCGAAACCAGTTAGTTACAAAGAGATAAAAATCAAGTTCAAAGTGCCAAGACAGATTGGCACGTCATGGATGATCAGGCCATGCTTCCACCCAAAAGTGGCGGGCAAGTTTCCCAGGACTAATCCTACCGTGTTTCTGATGTCCAGACCATCTGGACTCCAAGCGCCAGTTCCTTCTGTGTTCAGCCTTTGCACCACTCCACCACGGGGCCTGCCTTGCTGTGCTCTGGCGAAGCGTTCCACTGGGTCTAATGCCTACCCAGGACTCTCTAATGCCTACTCAACACACACTCAGTACTGCGTTGCCCAAGTGGTCTGGAGTCCCCCATGGGGATGCTCTGCAGGGCAGGGCAGACCTGCCTGGGAGGCTGTCCTAGCCGTCCACCAACCGAAAACTCGCTTCCCGATCAGGGAACCAAAATGTAGCAGGACATGCAGCAGACAAAACCTCTCAAACACCAAACCGAGAAAGGAAGTGGCTTTTTATTCAGCTGGGAGCTGCAGCAGGCTCATGCCTTAAGAATCAAGCTCTCCAAAGACCAGGTCCTTTCCCTTTTTCAAGGGCTTACAACTTTGAGAGGTGAAACTGTGTTATTGCCCATTGGCCAGACAGCTGACCTCACAGTCTTTGGCTTTCATTGATTTGCTAATTTATATTTGGTGCATGTGGGAAGGGAAGAAGGGGAAGGGTTACAGGAGCTGAACAAAGGCAGTAACTCACTTGGTGGAAGATGCAATTCTAAGGGGGGGTCTGGATTGCACAAACATGGAGTACGTGACTGGGACAGGTTCCTGGGTCAGAGGAAGAGCATTCCTCTGCTACGTTTTCAAGGTTTATAGATAACGAAGACATCAGTTACAGGAGGGGAGTTATATTCCCAGCCCTCAGGCCTCACTGCAGCAAGGCCGCTGGCATCAGCTAGTCGCCTGACTGCTGACTTCAGCTTCTTGCTATTTAACTTTTCCTACCAGCAAACAGGCAGGAAATGAATGGCTTCCCCTCACACTTGGGCGTCATAGCAGCCTGAGGGCTCCCCAGCCTAGAAGTTAAGCAGGGTCCCGCATCAGTTGGGCTTCGGTGAGGGAGTGCTTGAAGAGACGAGGGGCTACACGCTTTTGGTTTGCCACTCGGTCACCGTTTTTTTGCTTGTCATGACGCTTCTCAACCAACTGCTAACTCTCTGGCCCTTCCTTTCCGGCATGCCTTCTCCCCCACCCGAGGCCAGAGACCTCCCCATGGGGGTCCATCATGGCAGCTGCCAAGTTGATAGCAGCCTTGAGGTAGCCCCAGCTCAGAGCTTAGCAAGATGGGGACTGGCTGGGGCTTGGATGGTGCAATTCCTGGGGAGATAAGGGCCTGGAAGCTTTTGGCTTCCTGCTCCCTTCCTTTCTTGTGCTTGTCACAATGCTTCCCAACTAACCCCTGACTCTCTGACCCCTTCTTTTTCATCCCCATGCACCCCTGCTGTGGCCCAGGACTTCCCTGATGCCATTTCAGTAGCTACTGGGCGACATAGCAGACTGAGAGCTCCCCAGTCCAAAAGCCAAGCAGGGTCAGGCCTTGCTGTGGCTTGTATTAAAAACCGCCTGGGGATACTGTGGGCTGGAGGCTTTTGGCTTCCAGCTCCCTTTCTACTTTCCCTGCATGCCTCAGTGCTTCCCAACTGCCCCCTTACTTCCTGATCTCGTTTCCTGCCTGCCTTCGCTCCACTGCAGTTCTGGACCTCCCCGTGGGGCTCTGTTTAGGCAGCCCCCAAACACCATAGCAGTCTGAGAGTCAGGGCCGGTTGAGAACCTTTGCGACAATCGGGGAATGTGGGAAAAGAGCAGGAAGCCAAAAGCCTCCAGCTTGGTCTTTCCACGTGGTACTATATCCACGTGCCAGCGAGGCCCAACCCTGCTTAGCTTCTGGGCTGGGGCACCCTCAGGCTGCTATGGTGACTGAGGGCTGCTGGAACCACCCCCCATGGTGAAGTCCCAGGTCAAGGCTGGGGAGCAGGTAGGCAAGAAAGGAGGGGTCAGTCAGAAGGCAATGGGAAGAGTTGCCAAAAGTAAGGGAATGTGGGAAGTGAGCAGGAAGCCAAAAGCCTCCAGCCACTGGACTCCCCAGGCAGTCCGTTATCTAAGCCCCAGCCATGACCTACCCTGCTCACCTTCCATGCTGGAGCACCCTCAGGCTGCTATGCTGGCAGCAGTCAGCCAGGATGGGCCACCATGGGGAGGACCCAGTCCGTGTTGGGAGCGCAAGTTGGAGGGAAATGGTGTCCAGAGAGTCTGGGGATGGTTAAGATGTGTTGCAATGAGCAGGGAAAAGCAGGAAAAGAGCAGGAAGCCAAAAGCTTCCAGACCCAGTCTCCCCAGGCATCTCAGTTTCCCCATCCAAGCATCAGTCAAGCCTAACCCTGCTTATCTTCCAAGCCCAAGCACCCACAGGCTGCTATGGCCCATGGGGCCTGCCAGGACAAACCCCTACAAAGAGATCTGGGGCTGCCAGGAGAATGCCTGCAGGCAGGGGATCAGAAGCTAATCAGGGTGGGGCCTGGCAGGGGCTTGGAAGGGGAACTGCCTGGAAAGACTGAGGCTGGAGGCTTTTGCCTTTTCACCTTTTTCAAGTTTTTCCCCACTTGTCCCAACACTCCCCAACTGTCCCCTGACTTTTTTTCCTTTTCCTGGTTGCCTACGCCTCCTCCAAGGCCCAGGACCTCCCTGTGTGGGTTTGTCTTGGCAGCCACCAGGCGCCATAGCAGTCCTAGTGCACTGCAGCCCTGTTAACAGTGATTTCCCTTTGATAGTCCCCTGAGAAGACCACCCACCACGAAACTTACATGAGTAAATAGTTAAGAGTGGAGACAAAGGGATGTGGGGTAAACGACTTAAACTGGAAAGGCCTTTGATTGCCTCTATCTCTTTCCTATGCTAATGTTAGTGAGCTGGCTGCTTTCAGCATGCCTCAATAAGATTTTTTGGCCTTCCAAAAGGTTTGAGATTACAATCTATAACTTTTCCTAATATTTAATGTTTTGCCAGCCACCCCAAGTGAATATCAACATCTCCCCCTTTTTCTTTTCAACAATATCATGCTTTGCTGTTTGCCAGGCACTGATTCCTTCAGCTAAGGGTCTGCCGGGGAGGCAGTCCTTTCTTTTATTCCAACTTTGCATCCTAGGATTAACAAATAACAGGACAACTATGAGTACAATTAGCAACAGTCTTTTCTAGTCAAAGAGCAACTCCCAGGAATGGGGGTCTCACCAGGAGAGATAATCTTGCACACCTTTCCATATTTTTGGCCAGATTATTTCTAAAAGCAGCTGTTTGTATTGGCTTAGTAATAGATGCCACTGCCACACTGGCAGTTGCCAGGATACCATGGCTGAGACTCTAAAAGCAATAAGTGTAACTATGAATCTTGTGTGTCTGACCTGTAGTGTTACTTGGCATTTCAGTTTACTCTATGCCATTAATGAGGAACTTCACTGGGGGTATGCTGATTTGTTTTAGTTAAGCACTAGTTGTTAGAAGCTGTGAAGGGGGTGTTAGTTTAAGTTAGAGGGCAGAAAAATGTGGACTAGAAGATGAGCTTGCTAGAGTGTAGCACGTACAGGTTGCAGGCAGAGTGAAAGAATAAAAAATAAACAAATCCTAAGCAGGATTAATTTAGGGGCCACTGGAATAAAGAAATAAGCCAAGAAAGAGGAAGGCAGGGGATGCAGGAAACAGAAAGGCAAAGGGAATTCCCAAGGATGATAAAGAGAAGTTCAGAATAAAATAGCAGGAACAATCAGTCCAGAGTGGAGCAGAAAGTGTATCTCCAAGAAGGAATGACTGAATGAACGAATGAATCTTATTTTGATTAAATATAAATTATAAGATGCATACACACACACACACACACACACACACATATATATATTTTTTTGAGATGGAGTCTTGCTCTGTTGCCCAGGCTGGAGTGCAATGGTACAATCTCGGCTCACTGCAACCTCTGCCT